ATCCGCCATTTTGAACTTTTGAAAACTGACATCGGATTCGTAATCAGCGACCCCTAAAACCCCCGAATAACCAATTTCAAGCAAATTTATGAAGCGGAAATATGATTTTGGTCAAAGCCGTCACACGACATTCTTGGGGCCTGGACCACCGGGCCCTCAAATACCCATAACTTTGTCAATTTTGCTCCGATTGACTTGCCATTTTGACACAATATTCTTGATATATTATACATTCATTTAAAAAAAAAAAAAGCAAAAAAAAAATTAAAATACTATACCCCCCCCTTAAAATATTAAAAACAATTATTTTGATAATTTCTATTTACATCAAAAAGAATTTTATACATACAATATTCTTAATGATCTAATAATTAAAATGGAGAATAAAAATTAAATTACTTCAGTTTAGAAACTTTGATGCTTCTAGTTGAACAATTTTAAAAGATTATTTTTTAATCATTTATTTATTTTTAGTTATTAAAACAAAAATTTCCAAAACTTCATTGGAAAATCTAAAAGAGTCAAGGCAGATTAAACCTCCGTCGAAAACAGTGAAAAATGAAATGGTGGATTATAAAATGTCAAAGAAACAAAAATTCAATTCGGACACCAACTTAGCTGGTTTAGAAAACCAAGATCAAAACTTATTCGATCGTAAGTATCGCTTCCAGTTTGAAGCTACGAATTTCATCAAATTAAATTTATTTATTGCAGAGTACTTGCACGATACTTGTTTATAATTAAGGTCTAAAATTAAAATGAAATGTAAAATTATTTTAACTTACACAATTCTTATTATGATAATGACACAAATCTTTATTAAACTATATAATTATTTGTAGAATTGGAAGGCAATAATGATTTTGAATCTCCCAGTACATCGTCTAAAAATATACGAAAATCAAATCACACTGAAGCTTTGTCGACAGACAATAATGATTTTGCAACTCCCAGTACATCGTCCGAAAATCCAAGACAATCTAATAGCAGTACATATTCGTCAGCAACAGTAAAGGGTGGTGTAGATGATGACAGATTGTTTAACAAGAAAAATCCATCTAAATTAAATAATTGTTTGGCTAGTATGGAATATCAAGATAAAAAGTCGGGTAATATATGTAAATTTTTTTTATTTAATTTTTAGTTTTGACCCTTCTTTGCCTTTAAATTGGAATAAAGTTGACAGTACAGTCATATATAAATTTTCCTGTGTGGGATATACTCGAACCAAACGTAAATGATGTGCGGTTTATTTTTTTTAATTGAAAATATTTATATAAAAAAAAATTTTTATTACATACTTACACGGAGAAAAATAAGTTTGCTATTATATGGATAGCTAATTTTTAGCTACAGTAGGTAATATTTAGCTGTTACAGCAAACTATTTTAGCTATAGTAGCTAATTTTTAGCTGTATTAGCTAACGAAAATTGCTGTCCATATAATATCAAATAGGGTTAGCTAAAATAGCTAAATTTTAGCTAATATGGCTAACTTTTTTTCTCCGTGTAGTAATTAAATTTTTTGTTGACCATAAATCAATATATTTATCACTAAATTTTAGTTTAACAAAGGTTGCTGCCTAAAAAAAATTTTAAATATGATTATTTGTTTACTCAAATTTACAATATATATTTCTCTAAATCTGAGTTTCTTAGATTTCACTTTAAAAGTTTGAACTAAATCAAATTTAGAAAATTTGATTAATTTAAGATACTGAAAAAATCTTTTATAGATCTCACTTTCGAAGAATTAACGCTGTCAAAATTAAATGAAATAATTATACTGCTTAGAAACATTAACATGCAACCACAGAATAGGACTTCAACAATAAATGACAATAGGTCCTTCTTTGATTCTCCGAAGTGCCCACAACTTCCAATTCTTACCAAGAAAGACTTGATAAAAGTAAACGAAGAATTAAAACAAAAATCTCTTAAAGTCAAAATGGTCAGTAAATGTGTCTAGTTAGATATCAATCATAACACATTTTTCGTAATTTAACCGTAAAATCAAAACATCGTTAATTTCATGAAATTAATTTAAAAATAAATAAATATTTATTAAAAATGAATAATTAAATAGTTTATCTCCTTTCTAAATTATTTAATTAAAATTAATTATTATTAAAAAAGTAAATAAAATAATCAGTGCTCTGCATACTAGAATCTTAAATTCAGTTTTTTAAAATGAAGTAAATACAAATATGTAACTAAAGTTGCCCTTATGACTTTTTGTCAGAAAAAAAATAATTTTCTTCTATTCTGCAATAATATTTGTAGTTACATATTTTATAAAAAGAATTAATATTTCAATAATGTTTGATTTGTGAAAAATCTAAAGCATTCAATATATTGAGAATGTTTAAACTTAAATTGGGTCTGGAAAAAAATTATTCTGATAGAATGTTTTGACTTTTTTAACACTTTTTAATTAAAAATTTTAACATTATCGAACATTATTAAATTTATGTATTTTTTTTTTAATTAAATAATAAAAATCCATTTTTATAGTAAAAGATATTTATCATATTAGTCAAAGATAAAATAATAGAAGGTCCATAAAAAATTAATTTACATCTTAAAAATGTCATAATCTAATATTTTAGATAAACGCATTAGGATCCATTGGAGGAAGAGACATTAAAAATGTTTTAGCAAATGTTTGTACCAAACTGTTTTCAAATAAAGTGGCTACCTTTTACCGTTGGTCAAGAAAGAAATCAAAAAAGTCTTTGGAAGACACAATTTTTGCTGGTTTAATTACTAGTAAGTCAAGGCAGATAAATTGTTTCTAAAATCTATAAATAATTGTTAACTAAATAAACAAGAACTATTGCTTAATTAATTAGAATATTAAGCAAGCAGAATTATTGCATATTTATTTATTTTAATTAATCCATTTCATCAGTCTTATGTGAATATAGCACAGATTAATATTAAGTTTCTAATTTAGTAAGCGTGAAAGTAACCTATCCAGATGCAAAAGACAGCATCATTAAAGATGCTGGTTCCAAATGGTTTGCCCAAGCTACCACGAGATTTAAAAGAGAATTGTAAAAAACAGTTATTATAAATAAATGTTTCTTGGTAAAAATTGTATTATATTAAAAAATACATTATTATGTGCAGGGCAAAACAAGTGGATAGTGGCGACGAAGCAAACAATGTCGAGGACAATATTCCAATAAATGATAAAGAATCTGTTCAGTCTGATGCTGATGATGAAGAGGAAACCTAATCATATACTACTTTATCATTCGTCATTAATCAGTTAATTAATTTAAAAAGTTAAACATTTGAAGTAATTTACTTTTTTTATTAATATGAATTATAATCCATTGTTGTTCTCTCAATAAAGAAATTTGTTCTCACACTTTATTGTAGATTCTTTAATTAATTAAAATGAACCAATGCTGAAAATAAAAATGAATTTTTTTTAATCAATAGAAGTAAAATAAATGTTTAACTATTGTATTATATGTTATATATATATATATATATATATATATATCATATTTTTCTTTGAAATTCTTCAGAAACATTTTTTAACAATACTTCAAAATTTTAGAGATTAACAATTTAATACCATTGCTTAAATTAAGAAAAATCTTTGCAACATTCCTACAACATTTATTAAAAATGTTTTAAAATGTTGCAAATAAACATTGCTGCAACATTACTAAACAATATTCCCGCAACTTTCCAAAAATTTTAATTAAATATTTTTTTGCAATATTTCTGGAAAATTGCACTAAAATGTTGCATTAGTCGGACATAGCAATGTTACTGAAACATTGCTGAAACATTTAATCATAATATTTCAAATATTACAATGTAATATTGCTGCAATGTTGCTGTAATATTATGTGTTATGTGGGTATTTATTTTGAAAGAAGAGAAAATTGCACAATCAGATGAATTTTTAGATTCATTTGGAATTGAAAGGAATAAATTGCAGAAGTTAAATGATAATCAAAAGTGCAATCTAATCAAAAATACAATTAAAGAAAAATTAGATCAGATTACGTCAGAAGTGAACACATCTTTTGGAATCGAATTATCCAATCCGTTAATTGAACAAGAGCAAATAAATTTAGCACATGATTATCAATTATTAATTAATGATTTAAAAAATAAAATTAAAAATTGCAATAAAGTGTCAGAAAAAATAAAATTTTTAAGCTTAGTACCTCAATCATGGCCAATATCACGAATATGCTCCGAATTTGAAGTAAGTGAATATTTGATGAAGAAAACTAAAAATTTAGTTAATCAATTTGGAATCATGCCAGAAGTTAATTATAATCAGCATTCAGGAATTTCATTAGAAGTAAAAGAAACAGTTCAAAAATTTTATGAAAACGATGAAAATAGTAGGCTTTGCCCTGGGATGAAAGATTGTGTATCTATTCAAGTTAATGATTTTGAAAAAGAAAAAAAACAGAAAAGATTACTTTTGTTTAACATAAAACAATTGCACCAACATTTCCTCGAAATTTATTCCCATTTGAAGATAGGATTCTCAAAATTTGCTGAACTCCGACCTAAGCGGTGCATTGTGGCGGGCTTATCTGGGACTCATTCGGTTTGCGGTTGCAAAACACACGAAAACGTACGTTTGATGTTGCAACCATTAAAAATAAATTATTCACTAGAAGACTTTTTAAATATGTCAGCGTGTGATGTTAATAATGAAAACTGTATGTTAAATAATTGCTTAGAATATCCTGGATTTGAAGATATAAAAAATTTACTTTTCAATTGTACTGAAGAGGATTTGTGCATTATTTATAAACAATGGGTATCTGTAGACAGATGTGATTTTATTACAATCAGTCAAGAACAAGACGATTTTATAGAGCTGTTCATTGAGAAACTAAAAGAATTAAAAGAACACCATTACGTCGCAAGATCTCAAAGCAGTTACCTGAAAAATAAAAAAGGAAATTTAACAAAAACCGTGGAATGCATAATTCAGGCAGACTTCGGTCAAAATTTTCAGTTTATTATTCAAGACTCCATTCAAAGTCAGTATTGGATTAATAATCAGGCAACACTATATCCATATGTTATTTACTACAGAAGAGAGACTGATAAACTATGTTCAAAAAGTTTTTGTTTTTTATCTGACACTAAACAGCACAATGCTACAACCGTCTATAGAAAACGAATGACTCGTTCGCAAACGGCGTTCGCGAACAACAGGCTCGTTCGCAAACGGTGTTCGCGAAGCCCCAAGCAATTGTGCGTTAACGTTGGCGAAAGGTATAACATAACCTTAAATCAATGTTGGACGCGTCAGAAGACCATTCATATTTTAAAAAAAAATTTTATAAAGAAATTGAAAATTTCAACGAAAAGTTTTATCCGGTGGAAAAAAATAAACGTAAGTATCTTCAAACTACATGAAAAATATACATTTTATAATAATTCTTTATAATTTAGTAAATTTGCATTAAAAAGGAATTCGACACTATCATAACCTTAAAATTAAAAAATTGTTTTTACCCACATTTAACGTAAACAAAATTGTAATAAAAATTAATTGATAACAATATTTGTATTGTTCTAATTATGTATGTTGCAGAAAAATAATGGTTTTTTGTAAATTTTTTTTTAAACAATATATGTGGCTTTTTTTATTCAATTAAACAATTTCTACAGTTTAGTTTATTTTAATATTGTAAAATATATGTTTTAAAAATTAAATTAATCAATTGTTTATAAAATTATTAATGTTTTATTGAATAAAATAAGCTATTGTTTTTTTTAAATTCGATAAATATTGCTGTTTTTTGTATAAGCTAAAAGAAAAGAAATAAAAATGTTTAAAATTATGTCAGTGTTGGATTCTTCCAAAAAATTGGTAAATTTAAAGAATTTTTTTTATAAACCTCAACCATTTTTAAATTATTGAAGGAAACAAAAATATTTTAAAATATAACTTAAACATATAAATTTTGTTTACAAAATAGAATTTACTGTTTTTTTTAAACAATTTTAAAGATTAAGTACATTACTTTCAAATTTATTTAATTTACTAGAAAAGACGACAATAAATTTTTTATTGAATTTTTAAGGACAGAAGGATGGCATACAATGAGTCGACTACCGAAATAATCCTTGCAATTTTAATTATCGCACAATGTTTGTGTATTTTGAAATTGATGAGAAGTGAGAATAAGTCAAGAAGATGGGGCGTGCGACTAATCAACCAACGTCGTCCTGTCCTTGGAGAGTTCGAAACTTTGTTTCACGAGATGCAGGACGATGAAGAGTACTTTTTTAAATACACAAGGATGAGTGTCGACTGTTACAAATATTTATTGGAGAAAGTTACTCCATTTCTTTTAAAGAGGAGTCGCAGAAAACCGCTGACACCTGGACATCGACTCAGTATGACGTTAAGGTAAAATTTTTTACTTTTATATGTACATTTGGGGACTTATATTCCTCTATTTCTGTTCTTATTTAACACACACGTTATCTTGTTAACATTTGGCAATGTTTGAGAACGTGAAAATGTATAAAATGTCATTAACTAATACTACCGACACTAATACATACTTTTAAAGCTATATATTTTTAGAAAATGGTTTTTTGTTGCAAATGCAAAATTGCGATCTCTAGCCATACAGCGGAGATGAACAACTATATAAAAAGGAATTATTTCGCAACATCTACTACACAAAAATTTGTTTATTTATATATTTAGAAAATATTTCTTTTTACTTAAAGACTTTAATTGTAAATATCGCAGATATATTTTAAGAATAATAGCTGTTTTAAATTCTGAAGAAATTGGACCTTAACTCAAGTTATTCGATTAATAAATGGTTGGCCCTATTAAAAATAAACATGTGTCGATTTGGACATGTAAATACATGTGTAATACACGTATAAATACAGGAGGAAAAATTATTACACATATAGTACACATGTATTTACATGTGTAATATACGTCTACATACGTGTAATAAATTTTCCTCGTGTATTTACATGTTCAAATTTGCACGTGTATATAACACGTGTTTATATTATGATGTAATTCCTGTTCTTATATTAATTCATGGATAACAAAATTGGTTTATCAACTTTTTATAAATTATTTAATTGATCAAAGCTTAACTATAAAAAAAAGTTTTATTCTGATTCGAAATTAACATGTCCCAAATTTCAAACAAATTTTGATTTAATTTAATTGCAGCAATTATTGATTAAAAATGGAAACAAATATTACTTCAAAATCCTCTACAGATGGTGACAACTGATTCATATTTCACTTTCTGTCGACACTTCTTTTTAATGTGTTTTTAATCAACACTAATTGTACACCAATAATTTTTTCGGCTTACATAAAGATATTGATGAATTTTTAAACTATCGGTAAATGTTTATAAACAGTTAAAAAAGAATTGTAGACTATAGATATTCGCTTTTAAAAGAAGTTGCCTTATTGCCAAAATAAAATAGTGTGTAAAAAAAAGTGTAATAAGAAGTTAAGATGCTTTCCAATGACGCTTTAAAGTGCACAGTCACCATGGAGTTGTACCCACAATTTTTTTAAAAATTGGAACAGTAATCTAGAAAAGTGTAGAAGATAAAATAATTTTTTAATGATATACAAGCTATACAAGAAACGTGTATTGTCTTAGTTAAAGTATTAGCACCTGACTACCTCAAAATTCCCACCAATGAAGATTGGATTAGAATTAGCAAAGGGTTCAATGATATTTGGAATTTTCCAAACTGTCTAGGCGCTGTGGATGGCAAGCACATCACAATAAAAGCACCACTAAATTCTGGTAGTATATTCTATAACTACAAAAAAACTTTCAGCACTCTGCTAATGGCTATTTGTGATCACGAATATAAATTTACATTGGTTGACGTTGATTCTTATGGATACTGAAACGATTCAGGAATTTTCACAGACATTTCATTGTCGAAGGGATTATTTAACGACCTTTTAAATATGCCTAATGAACAGTTTCAAATACCAAATTCAAATATTAAAACTCCACTCTATTTAGTTGGTGACAATGCTTTCCCATTTTCAACCAAACTCATGAAGCCATATACTGGACATTACTTAGGAGAGGAAAAAAGAATATATAATTATAGAATCTCACGCGCTAGAAGAATTATTGAAAATACTTGTGGTATTATGTCTTCTAGGTGGAGGATTCTTGACACTCATATTTCTGCACATCCTCAGAGGGTAGACAATATTGTTATGGCAATCATTTGTCTACACAATTTTTTAATGTCAGTTAATAACAAGGCAGATAAAAACAATAGACGCTATTGTCCTTCGTCTTACATTGATCAAGAGGCCGAGAACGGACATGTCAGACTAGGTAATTATTTAAAAAATAAACAAAATTTCGTAAAATTTTATATGTTAAATTTTCAGGGGATTGGCGTTTTGACGGAAACGACCAACTGCAATCTTTTCCGACTATAAGGCCTGGAAGTCAAGGAACGATAAATGGAGGAAAAATGCGCCAAGCATTAACTACATATTTTTTAAGCAGAGAAAGTGCTGTACCGTGGCAATTAGACTATGTTCGTAGAGATCAAAATCAAGACAATAGATAACAGGTCTAGAATAAGATATAAATTAAAATACTATTTTTGTAGGAAAAAGAGCCATTATCTGAATACTTCAATTCTGCATGAAAACAGTTTTATTATGTAAGATTAATGTGCATTTATTGATAAGTTTTTTAATTCAATTTTTTGATTAAAAATAGAAGCTTGTAATGTTTTTCGAATGTCGTAGCATTTTATAATTTTATAAATCGTTACCAATCGGTACTCAGATGGAAATAATTCTCTTGCATGGAATTTCTAATTGAAATTTCTTTTTCTAAATTTCGAACATAAATCCGATTGGATATTATTACGAAATATAATATAGATTAAATTATTCTCGACTGCTGTAACTTGTTAAAATTTTATTTTTAGTTTAACGTATTATTTGAAGTAAGAATTGTTTGGGTCTCATTTGAAGACTTCAATGTTTAACAATGACAATATAAAATATAATCTAAATAAGAAAAACTTCGTTAATATTAATAGATTAATTCCATATGAATTTTTTATTCATTGTACTTACAGTAGAAACCCAATTATCTAGAACTAAATTAATTGAGTTTCCGATTATCCAGACATATTTTATTTTCCTCTTATATTTTAAAAATGTTTTACGATGATAATATCCATTTGATATGCACAGTCTGGGTAATCGGGTTTCTACTGTATAAGAATTTGTGAAGCATCGAATTCAAAATGATAAAATTTCTACTTAGCAAAATTGTATAAAGTAGATTCTCTAATACAGTGATTTTTATTGTACACGTTCTTATTAAAAAGAATTAATAACGAATAAAGAGTTCTATAGAATTAAGTAAAATGTTTAGAAAAGATGGAATTTTCTCTTAAAAAATAGCTTTTCTAAAATGTTCTTACCTATCTTCTTTTAAAAGTATTCATATTTTGGAATGACTGATGAATTTGGTTAAAGATATAAAAATATAAAATAAAGAAATAAATGAATAGAAACGTAGATATATATTTCACAAAAAAAATACAAGAAATTAAAATTATTGATTAAAAAAATTAAAGACAATTGTATTGTATTTAAAAACGCATTCGTTTTGAACACATTTTGTAATCATATCTTAACAGAACTTATAAACAATCCTAAATGAAATTATTATGCTGCAGAAATTATCACAAATATATTAAAATTAAGACTTAATGCGAAATTTACATATTATTAATTAAAGACAATAATGGAAAACCAACTTTAAATATAATACTTTTCGTAGTTGATATCACAATAATATAACGCATTCGTTTTGAACACTTTTTTTAATCATATCTTAACAGAACTTATAAACAATCCTAAATGAAATTATTATGTTGCAGTAATTATCACAAATATATTAAAATTAAGACTTAATGCGAAATTTACATATTATTAATTAAAGACAATATGTAAAACTAACTTTATATATAATACTTTTCGTAGTTAATATATCACAGTCATATAACGCATTTGTTTTGAACACATTTTTTAATCACATCTTAACAGAACTCATGAACAATCCTAAATGAAATTATTATGTTGCAATAATTATCACAAATATATTAAAATTAAGACTTAATGCAAAATGTACATATTATTAATTAAAGATAATATGTAAAACCAACTTGATATGAGAGATTCTTTTTCCATCGCCCCAGCCCAAAAAGTCAATGTTCTGGAATTGGCTTCATACTTTGGTAAATTGTTGTCCTATATTATAGTAATAAATCCCTAAAATATAAACTCATTAAAAAAATATTTGTAGAAAGTAGAGGGGGTTGAAGTTTTGACGTTAAGGGTAACATTGTCATTTTCAAATCCGTATAACTATGACAGAAGTTAATGGATTTAAATTTATCTATAATCAATTTTAATGCATTTTTCACGTACTTTTCAAAAATGTATACGAAATTAAAAAAAAAAATTTTGACCCCTTGTTTCAAAATCAACCCTTATTTTTCGATTTTCACCCCTTCGGGAATTTTTTTTTAATATCATTAGAATGCTGAGGTTTTTTTCCATGAGCTACGTAAATATGAAAGTATGATATCCATAATTTTGTGAGAAACATAATATTAAAGTAGGCGGTGCCGATAACGGGTATACCTGGAGATCATCTTCGAGGATTTAGGTAGGCACCGCCTAATCTTTCTTATTATATTAAGTTCTAAAACGACCGACACCGACCGACACCAAAAACAACTTTTTCGTTTTCTTTTTGAAATTATTTACAGTTTTCCTTCAAAATTTGAAATCACATGCCTTACATACATGTCTATTCAAAAAAAAATGCCTAATTTTTTTTTGCGCGATTTTTTGCAAAAAAAATTTTTTGCAATTTTTTGCAATTTTTTATTTTTTTACGATAATAACACAGAAAATACGTCACTATTTTAAATCTCAGCTAAAAAAAAATTTTTTTTACAAAGTTATGGCGATATTCAATTTCCCTCATATCTTTCTTATTATATTAAGTTCTAAAACGACCGACACCGACCGACACCAAAAACAACTTTTTCGTTTTCTTTTTGAAATTATTTACAGTTTTCCTTCAAAATTTGAAATCACATGCCTTACATACATGTCTATTCAAAAAAAAATGCCTAATTTTTTTTTGCGCGATTTTTTGCAATTTTTTGCAATTTTTTATTTTTTTACGATAATAACACAGAAAATACGTCACTATTTTAAATCTCAGCTAAAAAAAAATTTTTTTCACAAAGTTATGGCGATATTCAATTTCCCTCATATCTTTCTTATTATATTAAGTTCTAAAACGACCGACACCGACCGACACCAAAAACAACTTTTTCGTTTTCTTTTTGAAATTATTTACAGTTTTCCTTCAAAATTTGAAATCACATGCCTTACATACATGTCTATTCAAAAAAAAATGCCTAATTTTTTTTTGCGCGATTTTTTGCAAAAAAAATTTTTTGCAATTTTTTGCAATTTTTTATTTTTTTACGATAATTTTTTTCACAAAGTTATGGCGATATTCAATTTCCCTCATATCTTTCTTATTATATTAAGTTCTAAAACGACCGACACCGACCGACACCAAAAAAAAACTTTTTCGTTTTCTTTTTGAAATTATTTACAGTTTTCCTTCAAAATTTGAAATCACATGCCTTACATACATGTCTATTCAAAAAAAATGCCTAATTTTTTTTTGCGCAATTTTTTGCAAAAAAAATTTTTTGCAATTTTTTGCAATTTTTTATTTTTTTACGATAATTTTTTTCACAAAGTTATAGCGATATTCAATTTCCCTCATATCTTTCTTATTATATTAAGTTCTAAAACGACCGACACCGACCGACACCAAAAACAACTTTTTCGTTTTCTTTTTGAAATTATTTACAGTTTTCCTTCAAAATTTGAAATCACATGCCTTACATACATGTCTATTCAAAAAAAAATGCCTAATTTTTTTTTGCGCGATTTTTTGCAAAAAAAATTTTTTGCAATTTTTTGCAATTTTTTATTTTTTTACGATAATTTTTTTCACAAAGTTATGGCGATATTCAATTTCCCTCATATCTTTCTTATTATATTAAGTTCTAAAACGACCGACACCGACCGACACCAAAAAAAACTTCTTCGTTTTCTTTTTGAAATTATTTACAGTTTTCCTTCAAAATTTGAAATCACATGCCTTACATACATGTCTATTCAAAAAAAATGCCTAATTTTTTTTTGCGCAATTTTTTGCAAAAAAAATTTTTTGCAATTTTTTATTTTTTTACGATAATAACACAGAAAATACGTCACTATTTTAAATCTCAGCTAAAAAAAAATTTTTTTCACAAAGTTATGGCGATATTCAATTTCCCTCATATCTTTCTTATTATATTAAGTTCTAAAACGACCGACACCGACCGACACCAAAAACAACTTTTTCGTTTTCTTTTTGAAATTATTTACAGTTTTCCTTCAAAATTTGAAATCACATGCCTTACATACATGTCTATTCAAAAAAAAATGCCTAATTTTTTTTTGCGCGATTTTTTGCAAAAAAATTTTTTTGCAATTTTTTGCAATTTTTTATTTTTTTACGATAATAACACAGAAAATACGTCACTATTTTAAATCTCAGCTAAAAAAAAATTTTTTTCACAAAGTTATGGCGATATTCAATTTCCCTCATATCTTTCTTATTATATTAAGTTCTAAAACGACCGACACCGACCGACACCAAAAACAACTTTTTCGTTTTCTTTTTGAAATTATTTACAGTTTTCCTTCAAAATTTGAAATCACATGCCTTACATACATGTCTATTCAAAAAAAAATGCCTAATTTTTTTTTGCGCAATTTTTTGCAAAAAAAATTTTTTGCAATTTTTTATTTTTTTACGATAATAACACAGAAAATACGTCACTATTTTAAATCTCAGCTAAAAAAAAATTTTTTTCACAAAGTTATGGCGATATTCAATTTCCCTCATATCTTTCTTATTATATTAAGTTCTAAAACGACCGACACCGACCGACACCAAAAACAACTTTTTCGTTTTCTTTTTGAAATTATTTACAGTTTTCCTTCAAAATTTGAAATCACATGCCTTACATACATGTCTATTCAAAAAAAAATGCCTAATTTTTTTTTGCGCGATTTTTTGCAAAAAAAATTTTTTGCAATTTTTTGCAATTTTTTATTTTTTTACGATAATAACACAGAAAATACGTCACTATTTTAAATCTCAGCTAAAAAAAAATTTTTTTCACAAAGTTATGGCGATATTCAATTTCCCTCATATCTTTCTTATTATATTAAGTTCTAAAACGACCGACACCGACCGACACCAAAAACAACTTTTTCGTTTTCTTTTTGAAATTATTTACAGTTTTCCTTCAAAATTTGAAATCACATGCCTTACATACATGTCTATTCAAAAAAAAATGCCTAATTTTTTTTTGCGCGATTTTTTGCAAAAAAAATTTTTTGCAATTTTTTGCAATTTTTTATTTTTTTACGATAATAACACAGAAAATACGTCACTATTTTAAATCTCAGCTAAAAAAAAATTTTTTTCACAAAGTTATGGCGATATTCAATTTCCCTCATATCTTTCTTATTATATTAAGTTCTAAAACGACCGACACCGACCGACACCAAAAAAAACTTTTTCGTTTTCTTTTTGAAATTATTTACAGTTTTCCTTCAAAATTTGAAATCACATGCCTTACATACATGTCTATTCAAAAAAAATGCCTAATTTTTTTTGCGCAATTTTTTGCAAAAAAAATTTTTTGCAATTTTTTATTTTTTTACGATAATAACACAGAAAATACGTCACTATTTTAAATCTCAGCTAAAAAAAAA